TGGGAATTGTCCGAAAAATTCGTATTATCCTAGTGGGGCTCGTATAGAATTTTCGAGAAACTCACGGAAATTTTAATTAAGAGAATTTTAGCAAGCGAGGGAAAACTTTCAATAAAATATTTCTGTAATCATTACAAATGTGGAATCACGTGACTCTTCCTGAAGATAAATTTTTTTCTGTCTCGGTGCGTGGTAAACTGGATAATAAAATTTACATAAGTACGCTACGTTCTCGGGACGAAATAGGAAACAGCTGATCGGTGACCTTGATCTTGCCCACGCGTCTGAGACTTTAAATCAACTTGAAGAATTTTATTTAATTACTATCGGCATTACGTAATTATTCCCTGAATTTTAATAATCACAAAATATTTTTGTCCTAATTAAAAACGAACTCGCATTCAATAATTAATTTTGGAGATATAAAAAAATTTTTTTATCCTCGGAAAATTAATTTTTCCATTTCGGTATGAAATGGGAAAAATAATGAGTTATCCCTGATTTTGAATGAGAAAAAGTTGAATTCGAAAAATGGGAAAAATGGGAAAAATGGGAAAAATTGAAATTAGAGAAAATAAATGGTCGAGCCTCAACTGGAAAAACGAGTTTCTCGGGTGATAAATAAAAAATATATTCCGGACTGGAAAGATAAATAGTTTGATAAATCAGGCTCGTCGATTGAGTCGACAAAGACCTCTAAACGTGGTGAAAATGGAACACGGAGGATCGTAACACGAATAATCAGGAAGACAACAACATTGACCCGTGGAGAAGAGAAAAGTGTTGCTGAGGACTTGACAAATCGTGCACATGTCAAGTCTCTACAATCAGCCCAATACAGCAAGGTCACCACCCAGGGTTCACCAAAGCCGAAGACTGTGAGGGTAAGGACACTTTCACCCACGTGAAATACTCCCGCAAATCGAGATCAAACGGAATCAAAACTCGAATTAAATCGATTGATCGAGACAAAAAAAAACTGGAGGATAACGAACTAGTTCGTGCTCGAAATCTCCAGGACTAGAAATTTAATCCGCCATTTTCACTGAGATGATCGCTTTCCAATTATTTTTGA